GAATTATCCTGCACCCTGAGCTCCCTCTAAAAGGCCCATGTGGTTCAAACACAGTTTGTCCAGAGGAAGCTGAAGCTCCTGCCCCACATGGCCATATCCTCCCTGAGAACACATCTGTGCTGTCACCACCCCTGAGCAGGCTGGGGCTGACCCCCAGAAGGACAAACACTTTACAAAAAGACAAAACATTTCACTCCAGGACCATGTGGGGCAGAGACTGGATTTCTGGGGAAGAGCCCAGATGATTCCTCAGGTCTTGGAGAGAACAGAGTTACCTGCTTAGAAGAACACGTTTTTCATTTCTGAAGTACTTTTCAAAGCAGCACAGACCCACAAATCCCTGCCCTCCCCATACGAGTCCCTGTTGCTTCTCTTCTTTCCATGACAGAAGCACAGACCCTTCCACCAGGGAGGGACAGGAGAGCCAGCATCAATTTCCCTGCACTGTTCATCAAGATCTCCTGGATAGCATTTTTATACCTACAACAAACCCACTCAGAACATGAGCCTGCAGGATGCCACAGCAGCACGCACAGACTGCTGCTGAGCTCTCAGCAGATGCCACAGGAGCCTCATCAGAGTCACACCACGACTTTGACAGGCGCCAGGGCAGCCTGGCTGGAGTCACTGCTGTAAGAGCTGGGACTACAACCTGCACTCCCTGACTCCTGAGGCAGTAATTTAAACATTTCTGAGACACCTCAACGGGAAGAACCCCTTCCAGGATCCTTGGCATGCCAGCACTGACGGGACGCAGCATCTGCAGTTTAATTTATAAACCAATAAACGATCAGCGCAAGGCTGAGTGAGTCTGAGTCACAGCAACTAATGCACTGCAGTCTTCCTTGCTAAATCACCCCTGTTGACATGAGACCCATTAGCAGAATGCTGTTATTCATCTCCTGGACACAACAGCAGAGGCAATGCAAGCAGTGCTGACTGCTGCACACCAGCATGCATGTGCAGCCTGCAGCCAGCTGCTCTGGAAAAGCTATTTCTGAAAAGCAGGCACAGACTCTCAGCCAGAGATAAAAGGATGCTGGCTTGGTATTATTTAATCTCCTCAATAATGGATCCAACTAAGCCAGAACAGCCTTTCTTATCCTAGAGAAAAAAAAAAAGCATTCACCATGAGATCACTCCAGAACAGCTACTGGCTTTGAAATGCACATCTGGTCTTGATCTGAACTCGAGTCCCAACCCAGTGATTTACATGCAAAACGACAGGTTGAAATCAAGACCTGTAACAGAGCAGACAATTACTGTGGGGGATTGAAGGAGGAAAGGCAAGTTGATGGGAGGCGGGGGATGGAAGGCTCATTTTATACCTTCACATCCCAACTGCACCCTGCCCTGCTGCAGGGAATTTGCAAATGACACCCACTCCCTGATTTGCAAGTCACATCACCTCTGGCTTGGGATCTTGCAAGATCAGACAACCTCATTACAATAGGGAGCACCTTGCCCATGCAGGGACTCGGGGGACACAGCCCCCAGCCGCAGTGTCCCAGCCCTGGGAAGCAGCTGCCAAGCCTCAGTCAGCAACCACTGGCACAGACTTCCCAAGCTGTGCTCTGCTTCTGCTGACCTTGGGCCTATTTGGGGGACACAAGTGAGGGACCCTCATGGCTCTCTCCTGCCAAGAGGGCCTGTTTGACCTCTGCTGTCATTCCCAGCTGCTTCATTTCTCGGGACAGCTTTGTAGCACCAACAGTCCTGTGCTGAGCCAGTTCCATTCACTGCCCCTGCATCAAACAAGTCACTTCTTTCACTCGGTTTGTTTTCTGCCTTTTGTCCAAAAGGAACACGACTTTTACATGCACAGGGGATCAGAGAAGCACTGGAGCAAGCACCAGGGAAATACAGCAGGAGCCATACTTATGAACACAGAGGAGAGGGATGAGGGAACAGGATCAGCCCTCCTGGGCAGCGACCTGATCACTGCCTGCACCCCGGAAAGCGTCTGCTTTACCACCACATCAGAAACCTAAACTAAGCAGTACCCGACCTGCTGCCACCAGACACACACCATTTAAGCATTCACAGCCTGTGAGATGCAGGCACACTCTGCACAACCAGTTGAATAAATCCAGACAAGCAGATATATATGTGCCACTCCTCTCTGTTCCTCCCCCCCTCTGCCAGCCTTTGGACTTCCTAGGGAAGAGTCACAGCTCCCAGCACCCTGCACAGCTACAGCAGGCACAGAGCAGTTACTGGAGTAACCCAACAATTTCAACACTGCTCATTCAGCCCAGTGTGCTGCTCCCTTCTCCACCAGAACCACGGCTTTATGCTGGCCTAGGAGCCAAGCAATGCAGGCTCCAGCACTCTCTCTCCCAGTGTCTGCAAGTTTAATAAACATTAACTCGACTCTATGCCCTTTGCTGCAGCTGACCAAGTGGTAAAAATGCTACTTATTCCCCTGGTAAATCAAGCCCTTTCAGAGCCTGTAAGAACCACAGCTTCCTTTTGTGGCTTGGTTTTGGCACTGTAGTTAAGGTAACTGTAAAACATGGGAACAGACAAGCCTCAGGCAGGTGCATTTCACAGCCTTGAACCCTCGGCATCTGACTTTGAAGCATTTCCTCTTCTTCACAGATGACATTTTCACTGTGCCTGGGTCCCTGGCCAGGAAGCTGCTACCACACACAGAGCTGATGCCAGCCCAGCTTCTTGCCTTCATGAGCCAATCTCTGCAAAAAGCATGGGAAAAAACATCCCACGGTTGTGATAAGCTGTGATAAGCAGAGCAAGTCATCTGCAGCAAATCAAAGGGCTAATCTCAGTGCAGCTGGTCTTGCATGTTTGATTCCTTCCTCAACAGTTTTAGCTGAATTGGAAAGTCACATCAGGATAACTTCCATGCCCGAGGGATGCACCAAAACAGCACCAATGGATCTGTGACCATTCCCACTGAACAAATGAGGTTTGGGACCAGAGGTCAGTGTGCTGTGAACCTAACCAGTGGTTTTTGCCCCTGCCTAAGCCTTCTCCTTGCTGACTACTATGGGAGAGATTAATATTCTCATTTTAATACTATTCTCCATGTGGGTTTCCCCAGTTCTTCCCCACCCGCGAGTCTCAAAGACTCATTTTTCTTTTTGTCTCTCTGAAAACAGAGGGGCAGGTACAGCCAGGTGCAATTCTGGCATTTACATTTCTGGGAGCTGGTGTCTCCCAGCAGTTCTTTAGTAATAAAGCCAGCTTGGACAGTCTGCCCAGGGAGTCAGACGCATTTCCTGCAGCAGCTGCGGCAGGAGCTGATCGAGCGCCGTGCTCGGCACTGGAAGATGGGCAGAGACTGATGTGGCTGTAACAGAGCTGCAGCCCAGTCCTCTCTGCAGGGCAAGGACAGATGACGACACGGAGGCCCCACCTCAACGCGTGGGATCCCTCTGGGATGCAATTCCCGTGCTGAGATTGGAGCTTGTGGGGCAGCCTCCAACTCCGGCGGCCGGGCTGGCCCGGGAGATCAACACCAGCCCAGCCCGGGAACACGTGCTGAGAGCCGGCACCGCGCTGAGCGACAGCGGGCACCGCCAGGGGACCGGACACCGCTGGGGGACCGGACACCGCCGGGGGAACCGAGCACCGCCGGGGGACCAGACACCGCCGGGGGAACCGGGCACCGCTGGGGGACCGGACATTGTCCGGAGAACCGGCGGAACCGAGCACCGCCGGGGGAACCAGACATCCCCGCGGGACCTTCCTGGCTCCCTCCGCGCGGGGCTCAGGGCTCGGGAGGCGCTGCCAGCAGCGCGGTACCGGGGCCCGCAGCCTCCCCCCGCGGGCGCTGCCCCTGGCCCGGGCCCGGCGTTTCCCGGCCCGGTTCCCCGCCGTCCCCGCCGCCGAGCCCCGGGCCTGTGCCTGTGCGGCTGCCCCAAGAAAACTCACCGAGGGAGGCCGCGGAGAAGCGCTCCCGGCCGGGCCGGGCTGGGCTGGGCCCGCCCGCCGGCAGCCGAGGCCCCGGCCCGGCCCCGGCGCTCCCCGGCAACCGCCGCTTCCGCCGGCATGGGCGGGCCCGGCCCCAGCGCCCCGCCGGCACTGCCCGGGCTGCGGCAGCACACGGGGGACAGCGAGCCCCCGGCCGGCCCCGGTCCTTAATGCACAACATCTGCATTAAACGCAGAGGGATGGCACGGGGGAATCCAGGTTTCGCGGCTGGAATGTGCCTCGTCCAAAGGGGCGCTCCTGGGGTCGCCATCCCCCTCTGCCTGTGTCCACGAGAGGCCCCTTTCACCTCTCCGCGCAATTCTCCGATCATCTCTTTCTCACCCAGGAGTCTTGGCATTCTCCCTCCCTTCACGGGGATCATCGGGAGATGTTTTGTGCTTCCTTCTTCTAGAGAAGGAGCTGCACTTTAGATTTTTTTCTGCCCATTACAAACCTAGTGACAAAGGCACAAAGGAAGGTTCTCCATTCCAGAATGACACCTTCAAAACCAGACCCCAAACTGGCATGAAAACAGTCAGGGCTTTTCTATCCGAATGAAGGTGGTGATTGCAAGGTGAGCTCAGGACACATTACCTCATCGATTTTACATAGCACACACACTCCATATCATTAGATGCTTACACCTATGGCAGGATCATTGAATACAAATCCTGGCCCTGCACAGGACAACCCTAAAAATCCCACCCTGTGCCTCCCAGAGCTTTGTCCAAATTCTCCTTGAACCCTGGCAAGCTTGGGACCAAAACCACTTTCCTGGGGAGACTATTCTAATATCCAATCTAATCCTGCACTTCCTTCATACCTCACAGAGATGAGATGGCACACAGCACAAGAGCAGCCGAGTTCCTAACCCTTTAAAACAGCACAGCAGTAGACTTGTTTCAGTCAGAGTCTGGAAAGTAAATATCCAAAGGTAAATACCTAATTTACACACCAAGCAAAGAAAGTGGTCCCATCAACACTGCAGCGATTTTGTTTCTTTCTTGGTGTCTTCTGGTAACTTCTACAATAAGTTCTTTTATCACCAGATACCGAGTCCCATCTCTGAGTCTCCTGTTCACTTTTATTAAGATGGTTTTAGCTTTACCAAATCAAACACACGCACACAGCTGCATAGAGAATTCCCTCAACAAACACAACCTTTTATTTATGTAGAAAACATGATACTTTTCAGGAAGGTCCAGCTTATGAAACAGCAGCGTGCATGTTAATATACATAAATACACAGGGTTACAATTTAATGGGAAATACATTTTAAAAAAAGCTTTCAAGTACACAAAACAAATGTAGTAAAATTAGACTATCCTTTCCACATACCTGCCTCAGAGAGAAACATTCCTCAAAAGGAATGAACTTCCACCCCATCATCTGCCAACAAATCTCTCCACTGGACACCAGCTGCAGGAGAGTGTGAAGATGAGCTGGACCAGAGGGTTAATAGCGAGTGTTTGAGATCAAGAGCACATTTACCCATGGCAGTTCAGTCCCTGTTCTCTCAGCTATCAGGATGTGTGTAGTGTGACAGTTAGCCAGCCAGCACATTAAGATTGCTGCGAGAGGTAGGAAATACCTCCTTCCTTCCACTTTCAGGTCCCTGAAAGGTTCATGCTGTACAACTTTGTTCCGACGCTGTGGCAATCCCGTGACCCTGGGAGGCATTTATTTATTAACAGTCACAGAAATGAGAACGTGGCCCCACAGGCACGGCACTGGTGCTGCCAGGCAGTAAACACAACTGACATAAGCACAGAGCTTATGGAAAAACAGCTGCTGGATGCAGACAGCCTCTTGAGTAGAAGAAATAGTGTCTACAGATATGGAAGAATAGCTCAATGCATCACAGACTTCCCGAAGATTTTCCTGCCAAACATCAACAACAGAGAATTATAGTATCATTTAAATAAAACATCCGTTTGAATGAATTTGAAAGACATTTACCACACACAGGAAGCCAAAAGGCTGATCCTTATGTTATTAATTTTAATCCATTCCTTCTACTTTTTGTCCTATAGGAGTTTAGAGACCTGTTACATCACTAAACTCTTTCCTAAAAGTTTACAAACTGAGGATTGAAACATAAATCGGTCTCCAAGAGAGAAGAAAAAGGCATCTGAACAACAGATACTCCCTGATCTTGCTCCACATGCTCTCATGGTTAAATCAGCAACCTGTGCAAGAGGGGTTGTGTCCCATTTCCAAGCCATGCAATGGCAGAGATCCCATAATTCACTTCAGCTACTGCAAGTGCAAAGGGCAATTCAAGTTTTCCTACCAGTTTCCAAGACAAAAATTAAATGTTTGCAAAAAACAGAAACATTTAAAACTCTTTAAACAATTTAAACCAGAACTGTTCCTATCAGAACACATTTTACATGTTTTAAAAAACCAAGAAACTCACGCTATTAAATAAGAATCTACATATCTTAAAAACTGGGTTTTTTTACATTACAGCCAGAAGTGTTAATTGTCCTATTTTCCAAGGCAGGAATGTTCATAAGTTATTTCTTTGAAGTGCCTCACAGAGGTTTTGGTTGGCATCTGGTTCCTCAGTCATCACCTCCACAGTCTCCCACTCACCTGACCTACTCGATTTCTTGATGGCCTCTACCACACTCTGCATGTACAGCCCATCTTCAAAAGAGGCTGCCATGGACACAGGTTTATGATCCCATGTCCGACGGTCCTCCTGGTCTTGGAAAGACTGCCGCAGAGCTTGCACCATGTACACCATTCCCTTCAGGTAAAGCAGCGGGATGTCCTTGAACCCCTTATCCAAAAGGCCCTTGTTGACAGGCAGAGAGTCTGTAAACAGTAGTTCTTCCTGGAGAGCAGTGTTCTTCTGCCCGTACAAGTCTGTGCCACGAGCTATGAGGCGACCAGCAGACCCCACAATCATGACCTCATGGATGAATGATCCGGGCATGTTGAAGTTGAGAGTCACAGTGCAACAGACGCCGTCACCCATGAGCATCTGGAAAACGCAGAAGTCATCGCTGGTGACGTGGCGGATCCCGCTGATGGCCGTGTTCTGCTTCACAAAAGTCTTGAGCAGACCGTGGACCTTCTCAGCCCTCCTGCTGGTGAGGTGAGTCAGGAGGTCGATGATGTAGGTGCCCATGGTGTGCAGCCCGCCCCCTCCCATGAGCTCGTCACAGATCCAGTTGTACTTGTGGCTGAGCAGGCTGCCCCCGTAGACGCGCACGTCGCAGATGATGACGTTGCCCACGTAGTGCTCCTCTATCAGCTGCTTCATCTTCACAAAGGCGGGCAGGAAACGCAGGACGTTGCCAACGATGCTCATCAGCTTGGGGTAATACCTGGCAGCTGTGACCATCCTGAAGGCATCAACAGAGGTAGCAGCTTTCTCACACAGCACGTTCTTCCCTATTCCTGCAACAAATGAAAAAAAAATGCAATATTTAGCACACATGAGCAAAACATGGTCAGATGCCTCAAAGGTTGTCAAGAAGTGGTGTTTTTAAGAGTTGCTGAAATTTCTAAGGTAAAGGTCTGGGAACTAAAGTAGGAATGCCAAGTGCAGCAAGACTCAGTGTTGTTCCCAAGATGCTCCAGTTGCAGAGCTGACAAATTCTCACAGAGGGAGGCTCCAAATAAAAAGAGCATTTTTACATCATGAAAGAAAAATGTCCAAATGGCATCACATGGCATCAAAACAAGACACAATATGAGTGCTACAGTTAAAACATTATTTGAATATATTTGAATATAGCCAGAAGAGGAAAAAAAGCCAGGTACTCTACAGAGAAGAGGTGGGGAAAGGAAAGATTTGATTTTCACTTTGTATTTCACCATCACTATACCATTTTATTTTTAAAATTAATTAATATAAATGGGACATACCATTTACTTAAATATAAAAATGTATATATATAAAAGACATACATACAGATTCTGTGTACAGAGCACAAGAATCTGAAATAATGTTTTGGTAAATGGACTGTTTTAAAACACCTCTTCCTAATTAGAAAGCGAATAATTTTGGTCTGCAAATAGAGCCTGTTTGTACAATCAGACAAAATGTGACTGAGTTACATGGACAAGAGCTGCACCCCCAAGCTGACCCACTGCACTGTTATTGCTACTGATGCACTTTACATCATGCTCAGCCTAAATCAATGGAGGCAGTCAATAATCCTCTTTTTCCCCCTAACTTTAAATCAGAAATAAAGCAATACAAAAGAGCATGACAGTACAAGTTTTAACCAACTATTACATTTGGAGCTTTTCTGGTATTCCCCTTCTCGTGGCAGGGTTTTACTTTTACTGTTTTTTCCTGTTTTACATCTGTTCTCATCAAATACTTATCTAAACATTTTTCAGCGTAATAATAATGTTATTCCTAACATGGTTATTACAGACACTAACTGGGCATGCCAGACCTGAAGGTCAGTCCTGGCACACCACAGTTTCTGCCCAAGAATTGCAGGAATCACTGCAAACGGTGGTGGGCACCTCTCTGAGAGCTCCTGCTTAGCCAGGAGCAGACTGTGCTCCCTGCTCAGAACAGCTTTTAACTGAGTCCCAGTGAGAAGGTACCAGCACAGGAACCTCAATCGGTGTCTGGCACGCGAGGGGAAGGCAGATCCTGCTCTCCGTGCTCCCCCTCCCGGCTGCACCCAGCCAGCCCTCCAGGAGCCCTCCGAGCAGGCCAGGGGCCAGCAAGCTCCTGTGACACAGGAGCCCGGGGACAGCTACAGGAGACCCAGAATCTCTGCTTCTAACAGACACAAGTGAAATCCAGGCAGAAAATAAGAAGACTACAAGTGAAAAATCCCCTGTATTGATACGAGCCTACAGCAGCTTTAATGAACAAAGGGTCAGGTCAAACTCCCAGTGTACACCCTGGCTGTCCATTGGTAACCTCCCATTTCAGGGACCATTTCTGACTCCCCTGTCCCCAGTCCTACTGCTAAGGCAAGGCACAACACTAATTTCAATATTTTTCAGCTAGCTGAAGCACCTGGGCAAGCATCTAGAGTTGATTCAGTCCAGTTATCTACTTTGTTTCAATGGTGGTTGTCTCCAGGCAGGTTAAAGCACCACCAGAAAAAGCAAAGGGATGCTCACAGCATGCTGAGCAGATCTGCCTCCTCAGAGCTTGCAGAAAACCACGCTGACTCTTGCTCCATGCACACCCTGGTAGAGCTCTGCAGCCAGTGCTCTGCTGGTGCTGCTCCCCTGCCTGCCCAGGCCTGGTCCCTGCAGGGGGACTGAGAGCAGAGACGGCTGAGCCTGGGCACAGCCCCAGCACGCTGGGCAGTTCCTCACACCGGGCTGTCCCTGCCCTGCTGACCAGCCCCGCCCTCGCTCAGTGCTGTGCCTGTTGTGGCAGCCCAGGCCAGGCCACTTGAGCAGCTAAAACTGGCTGATGCCTTTTTTTGGGATGGCAGCCAGTGCAGAGCACTGACACAGGCCACTGTGTGCTGCCAAGTGCCAGGATGGAGACCTGGGAACACACAACAGCTCTGGGATAATCCTGCTGTTGCCTTCAGTGGAACATCCCTTCAGCTGTCCCTAAGCTCACAGCGATGGCCATGAAGCAAGGACAAGGGCCAAGTCAGAGATGGCTACAAGGTCCCTTACCAACGTCATGGCCATGCCTTTTGTTTTCCAAGGCAGTGCAGCTTAAATCCCTGGGATTGTTACTATTGTTTTGGTAATGAATAACCTCAACTTTGTACCATATTGTTTTCCTAAACCACAGCTGCAAAATTTTCAGTTGAGGCCCTCACCAGCCAGGAGATGAGAGCATGGATGGGTGCATTTAACTGTGGGACATGAACCACAACACAGACATTTGGTGAAATGTATTTAGCTCCTCTGAGATCAAAAGAAGCATAAATTTAAAGAGAGCTTCTTGCTTTACCTGGTGTGGAGATAAACTACAAGATTACACTGATTTTCATGTGAACTATCCCCTGGGCTTTGATCCGTTCTGTCTGGTTCATGAACTCAAACCAGTGTCACTGCTTTGTCCCCAGGCTTGTTCATGGATGCCTGTCAGCAAGAAACTTAGGCAAGGAAAGTGCACCACCTAGAAAAACTGGGTTTTTTTCTCTTCTTTACCAGGCACAAAAATGGAAGCACAATTTTTTAAAAAAGTAGAAAAATGTGCAAAAATAAGTGATAAAAGTGTCACCACTTTAAAACAAACAAACCAAGCCCAACATAACATGCAAGACCATTATTACTGCACCACTTCTGACATTTCCTAAAGCCCAGTCTCCTGACAACTAAACACCAATCTGTTATAAACAATTCCCAGCTGATAATTCTCTGATTATAACCATCACTGTATTAATCTCAACTTCCAAAGAAAATGTTGTTGCCATCTTTGGCCCTGACATGGTTCTGTGCTCCTTCAGAACATTCAAGCACAGGAAACCACCCTACACTGGCTGTAGATAAATCATGATATACTGGGCAGTAGGCCTACAAGTACCACTGCAATGAACCTGGAAAGCTGAAAGGCAAGGTCAGCATCACATTGGTCTGAGATGTCTGCATCAGTTTGCAGATCAGAACACCTGAGGACAGAGGAAGTAATTGTTACCCTTTCCTGCTACATCTATCTATTTCCCTGGTTTTTTCAGCCTTCCACTTCCTAAACTTGCATTCAAGCATACATATAACCTCTACTCCTGCACCAGCTTTACCTCTCTTTCCTCCTCTGGATAATGCTATCTTATGGGTTCCCAGCCTTCAATGAAGGAATCTCAATCCCTTTTCGTTAATAATTCACCAGAGAAGGTTCAATACTCTCCTTTTTAGCCCACTTGATCATCAAGAGCCACAAGACCTAGGGAAATGCATATTACCTAACAAGTGCTTTAAAGAGCTTTTAGCATATTTGAAGAGATAAATTCTAACTTACAGTTCAAATAATTAAAAATCAGAGTACCTTAAATTCAAAGGACAATACTCTAACGAGGTAAACAAACAAATCTAACAATGTAAAAAAGAAAAGGGAAAAAAAAGCCTGAAATCTCTCTTTGTATATCTAAGTGGCATTGCAAATGTTTGTGCAGGGACTTATTTACTTCCAAAATAAATTACTATAGAGAAAAGAGGCACAACAAACAACCCTTGCTCACATGGTCTGAGATTACCTGTCCTAAAATTAACTTGTGTATCTCTTGTAAACACAGTAAAAATATCACCCTTGTTATTTACAGAATTACACGCAAACTGACACCCACGCTGCACTACAGGAGGGGACATTAACACTACAAAGTCACACACTGGGGAATTAACAAATGTCAGGATGCCTGGGCAGTTGGCTCCCATCTCCCTGCCCAACCAGTCTGGGGTGTCATCCCTTCTTTCTGATCTAGCTGGATTCCTCCTGCTGTCCCCAGCATCTGCCCTCCTGAGTCAAGGAGAAAGATTCTTCTACCTGGGACCACATCAGCCTTCTATGGACATGCATGTGCCAAGAGGGGTCTCCAGGTAGTGGCCAGGATCACAGCTAGAACAGCATTTCTTAGCTGCTAATTCACAAGATTCTACTGAGTGCACACCAATATTTTTTCAAAGACTTTCAACTTTCAAGTTTGATTTTACGTGTGGGGAAAGCATAAAGCAGAGCTGAATAATCTTCCCCTTCCAGGTAAATCTCAGTTTCCTAGTACAGAACATGGGAAAATCTAAAATGAATTAAACAATTGAAGTTGTTTTGTTTGTTTCTGTTGCTCTGGGTTTTTTTAATGGGAATATAGCCATTTACCCTCTCATTAATATCCCTGATACAGCTGATTTTTATTACAAACTCCCTACCATAACTTCAGTCTGAACTGAGTAAGATATTTTAGTAAGATATTTAATTGGTTCAAGCAGAGCTATAAGCAATTATTAACAGTATTTAAAAAAACAAAAAAAACCAGGTAATCTTTCTCACAAATGCCACACTGCATTTGCCTGTTGGTGCAACCAGAACTATGGTGGGGTAACAGCTTCAAATTTCCATCTGCCAACAAGCTACAGATTTTTGATCCAACTCAAGGATAAGAAGGTACCTAGAGCCTTCACAGCAATTTGCCGAGTTAGTGGTGGAGGGATGTTGATGCAAACCAAATCCACATCCTGATGCAGCAAGACATCATCAGTCCGGCTCGTGTAGAAGGAGATGTTCATTTCCTCTGCCAGCTGTTTGGCTTCCTCTTCAGTCTTCCCCCAGAGAGCTTCAATGGAGAAGCCTTCTGCCCTCAGCAGGGGTACCAGGACCCGGGCAGCACTACCAGTTCCAAACACACCCACTCCAGGGAGCATTTTCATTCTTCATTCATTCATTCAAGCATCAGGGTCTACATACAGGCCTTCAATAAAATACTCGGCTCCTCAGCTTGATGTTCCATCCACAGTTCCTAAAATGTGAAAAGTTACAAGTCATTATGAGGAAAAGACACATTGTGGTATCAAACACACCTATCCTGAATTCTACCTTTTGTCCTTTGTATGGCTTTCAACATTCTCAAACATCCTAATGACAAAAACCAAAATCCTCAAAAGGTGCAGTCTATAGAGATACAGTATTAAGGGACAAGTCTAACAAACCTATTGCAGAAGAATGGTAAGAAAGCAGCTTGACAGAATCATCTCCTCAGCTTCAAAACTCAGCACATGGGGACAGAAACACACACAAGAATGCAGGATAAACCAGACACAGGGAAGCACGAACTGGGAGTGACAGGAAGCACCAAGAGGACAGGACACAGAGTCTGTCACACTGGCAGTAAAAGCAGTGCTGCTCTATTTGTGATGATGTAAGTCCCTAAATGAGATAAAGGTTTTTGAGATGAGGCAATATCTTTTATTAGACCTATTGAAGTAGCCAGAAATAATAGACATGCTTTGGGACACATAAATCTTTCTTCCAAATTAAATACACAAACTGAAAACAACTACTTGGACCTTAACAATTTTATGGCAAATAGATAAGTCAGTCTAGAGAAGATTTAGAAAATATGTCCTGTGGGGAAAGCCTAGATTCAGTGAGCTTGTTTTGCCTGGGGAGAAGAAGCCCAAAAGGAGGGAGAATGCCAGTATTTAAATACCCAGAAAGCTGCTTTTTGAAAAAAAGAAAAAGGGTGCTCCTCTGTTTCCACTTTCAGTAGTTAAAAGCTTCACTTAGGACAGTTAAAAGTATCTCCTTCTGCCAATGCCACTTAATCTCGAGGCATGCAGGGCTTGCACAGAATTATTATATTCCCTACACACAAGCATTTGTCAAGTCACACTCATTTTGTTCTTCCAAATATTTCCTGGTAAATCATTTCTTCGATCCCTACCTGCCAGTCTGTCTTAGCACAGCTGCTGCCTACAGCTGGCCAAACTGCCTTTAGCACTTGCTTTAGCACCAACTTCAAGGAGAGATGTCAGAAGTCTCCTCAATCTCTGACACCACAGAAAGCTTCAATCCAGCTTTTGTTCTGTGCCTTTATGAATTCTCATCTACTACACCCACTTGACCTTTTTTGATTTTTTTTTTTTTTTTTGAGAAAAAAACATGATGAATTCAGTTTTCGTTAGAAGCTTACAATGAGAAAGCAAAGACCACATTTGAAAAGAGAACTGGTACCAGCACCAGATCAACACCTTTGGAAAAGACACCTTTAAGCAACAGAACTGTCGCAGAAACAGTGTTACTCATCTCCCCATGCCAAGATACATTCAGTTACAACACATGAAAGCAAACCCTGACACAGCACAGGGCAGTGAAGTGAAACTACTCCCAGTGCAAGTGCTTTGTTTGCAATCAGCATCTCATTAGTCTGGGGGTGCCTACACTGCCCAGCATGTGTTATAAAACTGAACTCTGACTGAATTCCTAGGTATTTCTGTATAGACACGAAACTAGAAAACAGAAATGCTTGAGAATATTTGTCTTGCAAAATGCACAAATATTTACAGGTGCTATAAAACAGCTTATGAAATATTTACTTAATTCAGTATGTTTTTTCTTATTCTGTGTGATGCAGCATTTGAAGTGATACTGTCACTGTCATTCTTTATAAGGATGAACAAAGTTCACTGACAAACTCTTTTTTATCCAACATTTAGCAGGACACTTAAATAAGGCAGTGACAAAGATCAAAAGGATCTTGAAAATATTTACTAGTCTACATAAAAGGGTGGGATCCTGGGATACTGGAAAGAAGGATGGCTTCTACCCGGGCTTGTTTTATACAAATCACACAAACAAAACAAACAAAAAACCAAACCAAACCAAACAAACAAAAAACACAAAACCGAAACAAAATCACCCTTGCACCTGGATGGAGGCATACCTATTGAAGCCCCCACAAATCTGTTTAGCAGTTTATGGTCTAGAAGAATTATAAATTCTTACAGCAGAAAGAACATCATCTGAAGGGACACAAAGTGAGGTGGAACAGAGACCAGGTGAGTGTGTGCCTGCTTGCACCAAATCACACAGATGTGTCTCACACAACACCACGTTTAGAAAAGGCTGAATTAATTGAAAATGCTCTAGGAGAACACCACAGTATGTGCAACAGGAGAGTCCTGCTACTCAGATAAGCTGATTTCTGTAACAATCATGCAGTTTAAGTGTTACCCTTTCATGTTTTCCAACCAACTGCCTTTTAAAAATAATCTCAAGTCAGGTGGAATTAGTCTTAAACTCATCCCAAAACATAGCATGTTTCTACATTGGTATCACTAGGAGCTCTTGGCACAAACCTACAAAATCTAGTGATTAGCTACCATGCATCAGCTCCTGATGCTACAAGAACTTCAGGTCACCAGCTCACCACTAGTACTACCACAAAGCAAGAAGTGGCCAACCCAGCCTCAGCAATGACTTCCAGCAGGGCAGCCCCAGCTGTCTGGGTATGGGGACACAGCTTGCACAGTAAAAGGGCTGGAAACCCCAAACTTTGCAGCCACAAGGCTCTGCAGAGTGGCCCTGAGCAGAGGTCAAGCTTCTCCTCCCTCTCCTGAGAGACACCTGCAGCCTCCTCTTCCCCCACCAGACTTTGACCACCCGGGAAGTCCTGGTTTGGCAGGCACAGCAGGATGGATGTGCATGATGAAGGGCAGCAAAAAGATAATCCTTACGAAAACCACAGAGCACATGGAGCACGAGCAGAAGTGAGCAGATGCTCAAAGACCTGTAATGGGAGCTTTCAGAACGGGGCACATGGGGGTACTGCAGCCTTCACACACACACTGCAGATACACTGCAGGGCTGGCAGGAGAGGGACTCCAGCCCAGGCCACCCTGAGGAAACAGCCTAAACCCTCTATGTCAGAAAAAGGCCACTGCTGAGGAGAAGAAGCTGTAATTAAGAGTTTAGGAAGAAGGAACGGGGATCTCAGAAGAACAGCACTGTGCAGCCACAGAAGTCCCCAGAGCACCATCATCTGGAGCTCTGTGTGCACATCTGGTACTTTTCCTCTAAGCAGGGGGCGAGCAGGACTGGAAGTCCTGCAGAGGTGATCAAAAGCACCAAAATCTTCTGAAAAGGAAGACCTATGTAAGGAAAGATTCCTCAGCTGGGAGGAGACATCACAGGCAATAAAATCAAGAGTGGCTTAGGATGGAGAAAACCGCAATTTTCACTGTCCTTCACCATATAAGAGCACATCAAATGGAGCTCAGAGAAGGCTGGATCAAAACAATCTGAAGAAGGTGGTTCCTTGCAGCAGACTGCTTTAAGTTGTGAAGTGCCCTTGCCATGAGACAGTGCAGACATTTGTCATTTACAGGGAGTGAAAAGAGAGACTCTTGTCTATCCACTGAGGCTCACTGAATGCACAGAAGTCACATCTAGCATGGAACTGAAAACTAGAGAAAACTGGTTTCGGCAGAGCATGGGAACAATTCTGAGAAAGAAATGTCTGAAACTGGTACCAACACCAGCTTAGAATTAGGTATAATTTCTACATATTTATTTTAGAATCCACCAAGCCTCAAACCTTCAAACAAGCCTAAGCAAATTAGTTACAAAAATTAAAATCATAGCACATCAACCTCTCCAGTAGTCAAACATTGGAATGAACACTTTAATGAGAACCCTCCCCCGGAAAACCCAAAAGGCAGAGCTTTTAAGGGCAACTGAAACCATACTGTAACGGATGTCTTGCATGTCAGGAGATAAAAATCAATCTCTTTTTGACAGAGAAGAAATAATCAATTCTGCAACATCATTCTGACTTAAATTTTCAAACAGAAGCACTTAAAAGCTCTGCCATTCCTTTTTTTGGTGGCCACAAAACACCTTCATTTTTGCTGAATTTCATAGTGAGTTTGAAGTCTCATCCTGGTCATAGAAAGGAGTTTTTTGACTCTTTTGGTACACATAGCAAGAAGTTGGTCACCCAGTGCAATGAAAAACCTGATAGCTCCTACAGGATCCCATTCAATTCCACATTGAAGCAGTCTGGGAGCTCCAAAGGCAGAAATCTCCAAAACTAAATAGGACAGTCAAGGCTCACAGGGCTCAGAAACTTCTGTGGACCATTACAGATGGCCAGGTAGTGAAAGGTAGTGAAAGAATAGCAGCCCATATTCAGAAGGGTGCTGGCCAGGGTAGCACTGGCTCTGCATAAAGACAAAGCTTTTCACATGTTTCCAACTTATCTTAAAAAGTTCCATTTGGGTTCCAAGAAAGAGGAGGCACATGGTGGAGGAGCACACCAGCAAGCACATCTGCCCTCTGAGGCTCTGTATGAAATGGTTCACGTGTAGATGTCAAAACTGACGTGCTTTCTTTACTAAATGTGCTTTTGATTCAGGGCCAGCGGGCTGTGCGATAACCCACGAGTCCACAGCCTCAAGGAACTCCCACCACACCTCGAGACAAGCCCAGCACAGCGTTCTGTCCTTCCTGCTCTGGATGCACAGCAGCAGAGGCCCCGTTCCAGGCACAACACTTCCCACAGGTGCCGCCCGAGGTCGAAGGTGGCAATGAGGACCGTGCCGGAGCCAACAGCAGCTGGAAAATCCTGGAAATCAAACCGGACTTCATGCACAGCTCATGGCACGGCCATGGCAGTCCCGGGGATGTCTCTGGCATGGCCCACGATGCTCTGTGCTGCCCGGAGTGCGGGGCTTGGGCAGCTGCTCTTCGTGTGCGGGCTCCTCACAGGGCTGGATGGGACAGAGCTCACCTGACCTCGCCTCACCTCTGGAACAGGGCAGGGCTCACCTCGCCTCACCTCACCAGACCTCCCCCCTTCAGGGGTCTGGACGGGACAGGCCCCACCTCACCCCACCGGCCCACACGGAGCTGGTACCCCCGGCCCCTTCCCAGCCGCTCCCGGCCCCGCGCCCTCTGGCAGGACCGCGCCCCGCTCGCCGCCCAGCGGCCCCGGGACAGCGGAGGAGCCCGGGGGGGGCTGGAGGGGTCCGAGCCGCCCTCACCTGTGCCCGGCCGGGCCACCGGGGTTGTCCCGCCTGGCGCATCCTCGGGCCGGGCGCGCTCCCGAGGCGGCCGCGCGCTCCCGGGGCGGCGCCCCAGCCCGGCCCGCGCATGCGCGACAGCCCGGCACCGTACCGCCCCTCCGCCGGGCAGCAGCCCCGAACATGGCGGCGCCTGGGGGGCTTCAGGCGCAGCGTGAGGGACGGCCAATCCCGCCGCCGGACATGGGCGGGGAGGCGGGGCTTACACTGACTGACAGAGACTGCAGCCAATGGGAGATCAGCATGGGGAAGCGTCATCCCCGCCATGGGCGCTTAGTGAGGCGCTGTGGGCTCTAGGGATGTGCTCGGAGCGGTGTCCTGGGGGTGGCAGCGTTCTTACGATGCTGTGCCTCAGGAGCACGGGACACCGCTAGTGTTTGCAGCACCTCCTGCTCGGTGTCACCAGCACCAGGTACTCTGATACTGGCTCTTCCGTGCCCAGCTCCGTGAGGGCTCAGGGGCCTCAGCTCAATGTACCCCCGAGCCTCGTCAGCCCCACAGTGCTGTGAGGTTCGGGCCGAGGGCAGGGTCGCTTTTGGCGGCCCTGCGGAGGGCAGAGCACTGCGCCACCCAAGGAAAAGCCTCTGTAAAGCCACCACCGAGGACAGGACTTCTCACACCTCTCCTCATCCTCCCCAGCATCACACGGGAGGCTCCTTGCCAGCTCCCAGCAGTTGGGAGAGGAGGACCTTGATGGCACGTTCTGTATTTCCCTCGTTCGCTTCAAGGCAGTGGGATCAGAGGAACTATGCAGCTTCCCTTTTGCTGTGGACATTGTGTAGTGCCAGGCGTAGCTGCTGCTGACACGGGGCACCCTGTTATTAACAGCAGCATTGTCATTTCCTGCTCTCTTCTCTCCTTGGCAGAGAGCACCATGGAGTGTGGCTGTGGAGCTGGAAGGGGCTCTGGTAGGAGAGCAGCTCTGTGGAGTCAGCAGAAGGCAAGACGTTAACCTTTAGTTCCACCAGCACCACAGCTGGGAACACAGGGAAGGCATTTCCTGCTGAAGAAGGTCTTGGCCTCATCAGTGCCAGGAAACGTGAGAACCAGAATAGAAATGAAAAGGAAGGAAGCAAACAAGTACACATCATTATGCAGTTGTGAAATGAGAGAAGATGAAGACTTGAATGCAGAGAGGAAGTGAAAGTCAGAAAGAGCATGGGAAGAGATGAAGAGGTCCAGAGGGGAGAGCAAGAGGGATACAGAACCTCTCACTTGTCATTCTTGTGGATCTTGTACCCTCTCATCAGCAAATATCCTGCTGGTGTTGCTGTTTCCTCATGTGGGTTGGTTTGCAGATGACATCTCAGCTTCAGCCAGGAAGTTCCACTGGCTGGTGGAGCAGAGTGAACACCCTTTCTTCTGGAGAGACGTGTGGCTGGGCTGTGTGTGCCCAGCATGGTGTGGAGGGTGATTGCTATGGATGCTGATAGAAACTAATGGGGAGGAAATGGCAGATGGAGGAGATTTTGCTCTGAGTATGAATAGGAAGAGTGGTGCAGGCAGTGGGGAGCAGCAGAGATTGCACCCACAGAAGCTAGGGAGACAGAGGGGCCTGTGCCTGCTGACTGCTGCACATATGCCTTTGGTGGCAGGGGTGACACAAGCAGTGTCTGGCCTAGTGGATGTTCATGTCCTAATGTCCCTCATGCCAGAGGTGGCAGGGGAGTACAGGGGCTGGGCAGGAGCTGGGATCTGGGTGCTCATGGCCAGAAGGGGCGCAGGGCTCTGCAGGGCCGTGTACACAACCAGAACAGTGATCAAGCCCATCCCCGTGTCAAACCACCATTCCCTGGGGGCTGGCAGGGTGTGTGTGTCCCCACCTGGGCTCAGTGAGCACAGCCGATCACCAGATGGGTGTGGGCATCACCCCACCCCCCCTGCCGTGACGGCAGCACTGCTTCCTCCAAGGGGTCCATTCCCTGGTGTAAAACAAAGCAGACTGGTGGTGTGGGGAGGTGGTGCTGTAAGAAACTGGGGAAGTGACAGGGAGCTGCTGGGCTGGGCCCTAGACCAGTGGGAAATGGCCATCAGCAGCTCCTGGGGCATTACTCGGGTCTCTGGGCCAACAGTATGTGGTCAGGATGAAACCAAAGGAGGAATCAGAGCAGAGAGGAGATAAGAACTGGGCTGAGACAAGAGAAGGGGAAGAGAGGGGAGGCCTGTGAGCACAGAGGGAACTGCCTGGCCCAGTGACAAAGGGGCGAGGTCCTGGCAAGGCTTCAGCTGAGCAGTGACCCTGCACTGCAGGGAGAGATGGAGACTCTCAGCCGGTCCCACCAGGCACCCAGCATGGTCACCACGAGGCTGTTGGGAAGTTTGGAGTTCTGGCTGGCCAACACCTTTCTGCCCCTGCTGCTCTTCACCTGGCTGTCAGTTGGTGAGTCCCCCAGTGCCTCTGCTCTGAACTCTTCCCTCTTTGCTTATGCCTGCAGAAGGTGTGGAAAGCGCCTGCTGCTGCTTTTACCTCTCCTCCTGCATCATTTAACCCCTCTTCTGCAGCAGCACTTTGCCATGTGCCTTGCAGAGGGGTCTCCCTTGCAACTGTGCATGCACAGACTGTGAGTTCCAGGGGCTTTGAACCAGCTTTGCCTTCAGCAGCAGGGAGAGTAAACAGCTGGGGGGAAGGAAACAGAAATGCTTATAAGCCTGATTACTGAGGAGAGGGGTCTGCTGCACATGGCAGATGTGGATATTCCTTTAAGACAAAACCGACTTCTATAGGGTGGTTTGTTTTTTTTTCCAGCAGGACTTGCTCACCAGATTTCAGCCATAGTTGGTTGGGTTAGATGTCATCTTGCAGTGTCTGCCTCAGGCAGGCTTGAGCAGCACTGCCAGGGAGGTGAAGCGGTTTAATGTCACCTGAAACAATGGAAAACAGCAGAATGGAGGTGGTGTAGAGAAGAAAAATTATCTGACCCAGCTCATCTTTGCCACTGTGAACAAAGCACATGCAGGAACATACACATGTAGGGTGGAGAACACAAAGAACACATCCAAGAACAGATGTTCTGAACTAAGCAAGGGTGGTAAGGGACAGAAGTCCACTAACACCCCTCAGAGTGGATAGAAAGGACTGAAGAGAGATGAAAGAGGGAGGACTCAGCTGAGAATCTGAAGTGACTCAGGAGGTCAGGAGTGATTCTGAAGTACTCTAGGGTTAGAGGGTGGGATGAAGTCAGAGAGGCTGCAGGGAGCTGTTTACTATATTTTCTTTGCTTCTCTGGGGCTGACCATTGTCCACTGCCAATCCCCCAGTCCTGCTTCATGCTCTGTGAAATTGTGGAGCGTGAGGCACTTCCTGCTTGGGTGCCTATGTCACAGGTGGTGGAGGTGCCTTCCCTCTGATCCTCATGTTTTCAGTCCTTCCTGAGACACAGAAAAGTTTGTGCAGTGCACAGCATCCAGTGGCACAAGTCAACAAGCAACATTTCAGTGTTGAGTGGTGAGGAATGGTTAGCAGCCAGGTTTGGAAAAGATCATCAGCTGCTGCAGAAAAGGATGGTCACTTCACTGTGTCTTTCATGAGTGACATGTGGGACAAGACCCTTCAAGATCACACATATATATATTTCAGCTATCACTTCTGCTTTTGTTTCCTCCAGGAGCAGTCAATCTGCAGACAGAGCCAGTCAACACTGTGCCGTCCAAGATTTGTTTGGAGAATCTCACAGTGCAGGTGAAGTGCTACAATCCTGAATGCCTGGAGGGGGAGATTCGAACCAACACTGTGGTTCTGGTAGAAAACTCTATGAATTTCAGCATCTCAAAGCTTTGTACTGCCTGCACAGAAATCCCTGTGTGTAGGGTCTCCATCACAAGACCAAACTCGACAGACACTGGAAACAGTACACAAAGAGCAGTTGTCGGAGAAAACTGTATGAATTTCAGCATCTCAAGCCTGTGTACAGCCTGCACAGAAATCTCTGTGTGTAGAGTTTCCATCACAACACCAAATTTGACAGACACTGGAAACAGCACACAAGCAGCAGTTCTCAGTAAGTGGCAGTGGGTTTGTTTCTGTGAGGGAGATGAGTGGGCAGACAAGGATGCTACGTCCAGCACTCCTCTGGTTCTTCCATGCATTGTTCCCCCTGAAAGCATCCTGAGAACTGGAGGAGCCAAACCGGCACAGTCCCTTAGTTACAAGAGTGGAGGGCAGGAGGAGTCCTCGGGGAAAAAAGAGGGAGGAGCAGTAAGGGGGAAAATAGCCAGATGTTTTCCCATGAGTAGGTGGGACCCACTGCCAAACTGGGGTAGGCACCAGTGGATCAGAGGCTGTGATGCTGGGAAGGGGCTCTGATGCTCCAACTACCCCCTGGATGAGTTTGGAGACCATTCCCCACAGGATTTTGTCAGCACCCCGAAGCTGGAGGTGGTTCGGGGTCTGGAAGCCCAAGTCTGGGAAGAAGCTGACCCTGCCATGAAGGAGGCAATGGCAGCATGTGTCCCTGCATGGGGGGATGGTGGCTCACGAGTGCCTCTGTGCTGTTGTGTGTGCAGACTTCCTGTGCATCCTCCTTGGCTTAGCGGTCGGGACACTCCTTCACATGCCGGTGATTGGCTTCCTGCTGTGGCAGCGCAGAAGGAACACAACAGGTTGGCATTTCTTCCTCAGCTTCTGGTCTGGACAAAGCCAGGCTTGGGAGATGTCCATCTTTGAGATCCTACTGCTCTTGCTCACTCTGTGTTCCCTTCACAGGTCTGAATAAACTGTCCCAGTGTGGTGAGAAGGTTTACCCCCTTCCCTTCCTCCTGGCTCCTTGCTGGTGGGAGTCTGGTTATGGCACTACCTGTTGAGTGATTGAGGTCTTGCATATCTAGAAGTGTCCATCTCAGAGCTCTTCTCCAGCCCTTCCAAGGGCTTTTAGGCCCTTGCCAACCCCTCCAGCCCGTTGACCATCTTCAGAAACACATAGCCAGTGTCTCATCCTTTCCCACAACACAAGCAGATGTTTGCTTCATTCTTTCATTATTTTCCTTATTTAAAATAATGATTATTGTCACTATTTTAACTACTATTTAAACTAGGTTTCCTTTTTCAGGAGACCTTCTGAGTGAGGAAGTGGCAGAGGAGAATCAGACCAGTACGGTAAGCCAGGGAGGGCTTTGCACATACTGCTTCCTCCTCCCTGTCAAAAAAAGCATTGTCTGTTGAATACCCACTTAAAGGATTTCGTAGTAAAATCAGCTTTGCTTTCTGAAAACATGGTCCTAAACACTTATTAATTCCTATTAAATAAGGGCTTATGAGTGTTTGAGTAGGTGGCACTTCTGAGCAATCTAGGTAATGCTTGGGCAGCACAAAGAATTGTGCCAGTGGAAATATATTAGCAGGGGAGACACAGAAAGAAAAGCCAAGGCTCTACTTATTGCTCTCTCCCTGCAGGCAGCTCCGGTGACAGAGACTGAGGACTTGACCTATGCCAACCTGAATTTTGAAAAGGGGAAGGGGACAGGACCTGCCTCCTCCAATGTCATTTACACTGAGATCAAGTCATTGCAACAGAAGCAGAGTGGTGGGGATGGCAGTGCTGCTAACACAGATGTAGATGTCTACCCCAAGGAAGAGGGCAAGTGAGGGAGATAAGGAACTTGTCCACCTCTTGGGGTTGCCCTCCTCAAAAACTAGGTGTTAGCTCATATAGCAGTGCAGTCTTGGTGACCAAAGACCCCTATCACCCCTGAGTGGCTGCAGAACCCTGCTTTATATTCCCCTGAAAGAAGCCATGTCTCACGGTGAGAGCAGGGCTCTTGAGCCCATTTTCCCCTTGCCTTCTGCAGCTCCAAGCACTGCCAAGCCTCAGCAACTCTTTTCACTGTCTCCAGTCACTGGCAGGCTCCTCTAGCTACTTGCTTCGTGTTCAGGAATGACACTTGTACACTGTGTGGCCAACACGGTGTTCAGGAAGAGCTTGGTCCTGGATGTGCTGGGTGGTATGGCCATGAGAATTCCTGGAGCAATCTTCTGGATTTTTTCTAGAGCAGGCACCTGCTGTGATGGGGGTTGACCTTACTCTTGTTCACTCACTTGAAACACAAGGGACAAGGATGGAAAAGCATTGCTTGCTTCACAGAAGTGCTGCTGCAGTGATGGACAGAGATCTGCTTTGTACTGGGACTGGCTAGGTATTTTTGCTGGTTTGGTGGTGAATACCCTTCTCGTGGGTAGAGCACTCTCTTTTGTGCCCTCTATTATTGGTAGTGTTGTGTTTATTGTGAGTTTTTCAATAAAATTGTGATTCCCACTTGTGGCCTCACCTGGTGTTTCCTCTGCTGTTGCAAGAGGATGGGGGAAGAGGAGCAACTTGACTGGAGTTAATTTTCCCACTGAGTTTGAAACCAGCACATAGATCTAATGATTTAGTGTTACAGCCACAACAGATGCTGAGGTTCAGAAATGACCCTGAAAAGATAGTCCAGATCTTCTGGATTATTCTCAGAGCATATGATCCAACTTGGGCAGATGTCCAACCATTAAACAAACATCAAACAACTAAGTGGTGTTTGCCTGACACAAGTGTGTGAAATCCAGGAGTGCAACCAAAGAAGGGGAAGAAGCTGCTGGGGGAAGACCATGGCCAGTGGCTGACCCAGAGTGGGATCACAGAACAGAAGCAGTGAGGAACACCTGGAGGTGGTGTGGAGATGGACTCTGAGAATCCTGGGATTGAGTAAAATGAAAAACAACAAATCAAAGTAAAGTGAATGAATGTCGGTAAGGGTTGACAGAGTATCCACTGGATTTTTGAGTTAATTTAGCTAAACAAATGAGAATGTATGGAGGGGACAACCTTGAAAATTGATCATTAAAATTGACTTAGAATTATTTATAGGGGGATTGTAGACAGAACGAATAAAGACCACCCCTCCCACTGAGTTGTAAGCTTGAGTGGAACCTCTTGCTTTTCAACCTTTCTGGGACCACAGTGCAGCTCAGTCCAATCTTAATCTCAGACTAGGACAATGCTTTATGCCTAATGAATTATCCATACAAAGTTTATTATAATTTGGAGTAACTATATGGATTAGTAATGTTAGTAATTAGTAATGTTTCATCATATATACTCAGCAAACTCTCAGTGACTTACTTGAGGATTTGTCATAGGTGGATACTGAGGATATCTGTCATATCTCCAGCTTGGATGAGGAAGGGTTCTCTTCATCTCAGGTAAGGTATTTGTAATTTTGAGAGGGCTCCCAGTTCAAGAGGGGAGTCACTGGCGTGCAGTCCAGCTGAAATTCAGGGACAGCTCTAATTGGGCTTTTCCTGGTAATGATACTGGTAGAATGAAGTACTGGCATTCTGGTCAATAGGACAGGTAAGATAGATTTCTGCTTAGTACTGATATCCTGTTTGGTGAGGAGTGTATCTGTCATGGGCCAGGTTCTCACACCCACCCCATCAGCTTCTCTGCCAGGCATGGCATGATCAGCACCTGCATGACCAAGTTCCATTCACTGTCCCATCAACATTCCTGCCACCAGTGACACAAACACCTGGCTGTGATGGGGTAACTGTTGGACTCAAACAGTTACCTGTCCTAAAAGGATCCCATGATTCTCTACAGCCAGGATGGGTGGCGCTGGGGCTGGACTAGCATAGCCCTTCTCTTGTGTCTATAGTGTGAAATTACTTAAGTTGTTATTTTAAGGAGAAAAGGGTGTTTAAAAACCTTCAACTAAGAGACAGATTGCTCATGAATTCAAGAAGAGCTGAGCCAGACACCTGAGACTTGTACTAACAACCTTGGTAGTTACTTATTTGCTGAGTGAGGGGAGGAAGTTTCAGAGGAGGCAAATATAGCCGCAGAGTTCTTCAGAATCCCGCTGCTCAAAACAGAAGGCCATGAGGAAAACCACAAAGGACATGAGCAGAATGACATGCTCACTAAATTGCAAAGAGGCAAAATTGGAAAGCTGAGGTACAAATCAAATTAAGACTAACAATGGCTGCCAGAGGCTCTGCATTTGCTTAACTGCCTTAAAAAGAAAAGGAGGGAAAAACATGGCCCATTGCTTCACTAGGGAAGAGTTACTGATCAATGAAATGGAGGAAGCTGGGACATTCATAGTGCTGCATTTGCATCCTCCTTTATGGCCAGGGTTAGTGAGGAAGCAGATCTGGGATAGCATTTTTAACAGGGAATCAGGCAAGAAGCCATGAAATAGCCTTGGAGCAATAACACCAGTGAGCAAGGGGCAGGGAAAGGCAGCCAGGGCAGCTGGAGGAACTCACTGAGGCCACCTCTCCCAGTGCAGGCAGGAAGGGTGGGGGCAATCTTTGCCCATTGGCTATTTTTAAAAAAGTGAAGCAACTTCTACAGGCAGAGCTGAGCTTCCAGATTTCACTTCTCAGAAAGATGCTATCACAAGCAGTTAAGCAAGTGTGTGAAGATAAAGCAATAATAAACACAATGGCCTCCTTGCCCCATACTCCTCCATATTGAGAGGGCCCCTTGTCCCTGTGTGCACCCAAGGCAAGTGGGTGAAACATCCACTATGATTTTTCCTGCCAGGAGCAGGGAGTGTGTCCTTGCTGCCCCCCAGGCTCTGCTGGCTAAAAAAAGGAAGGCTGACTCATGCAGAGAAACAAAAGTAAAAGTGCTGTTTCTCCCAGTTTGGACAAGAGGAAAGCAGAGTTTGGGGTAAGGGCTGCCTTTATCAGGGACCTCATAAAGAGATCTGATCTTCTACTACCAGTGAGGCTGAGAAAAGGCAATAAAACCCCCAAAGGCTGTAAGTGTGCAGAGGCTTTTGCCCATTTCCTTACACCACTAGCAAGGAGCAACAAATTGGTTGGACATGTGGTTTATCACATAAATCCTGTTGCCTTGGGAGCTGTTCTCACTGATAACAGAGAAAGGGACTGGGGAGGAGTGAAAGGGGGGTCTGGAAGCTGTGCTCTGGGGCTTCAATCCCACCAGTGACAGCCTGGGGCAGTGCAAGTATGATTCCCAGAGTAGCATCTGAGTGGTCAGAAAGGAGTTTTCTTAAGTTTTCATTAAGATCTGTTGTTTCCAGAGCATACCACATCTTCAAGTCAAGTTTTCAGAGGAACAATTCATGGAGAACTCCAAGATGCAACCTAACATTTGAACAGTTTAAGAAGTCACTGAGAGGCTGAGTAGAAGGAGACACACTTAGAATACCACTAATACCAGCCTTAAAACAAAGGCTTTACTCTTGGTCACTTTTATTTCAAGAACAGAACAGCCTTTCATCCCAGCCCCCTCCATGAGTTTAGTAACTCAGGTAGCACACAACAAGAAGTCACATCCTGTTGAGCAAGAGTTCCAAACAAAGCAGTCCCCACTGAGACACTGGACGTGGGCTTTCCTCCTCCCCCTCCCTGGGTGAGAAGCAAGCCCAGCACAAAATGTGAACAGCACCCTCATCCCACACCTGCAGGATGCTTCAGTTGCAGTAACTACACAAATAAATAGGACCTCGTGGAGAGGGAGGAGAGGGCCACCACAGATCATCTAGAAATTAAGTTATTGCTATGTTCTTATGTATTTGACACTGCAGGTAACTCACTTGGGTAACCACCAAGAGAGGTGACAGTCTCAGATTGCCCTTGTGTAATCAGTTCGTGTTGGACTGAAAGCTGTGGGAAGACAAGACAGATCTTGTTTCATCAGCTCTGAGCCTTAAAGGCAGGAGTTCTTGGTGGGACTGAACCTTCCTCATTTTGCTGAAAACAGCTGGGGGTAGGGACTCCCAACACACTTGGAAATTCATCATGCCTGACAGCATTTCCCATGCACACAACTAAGAGTACATACTGCTAAGGGTACTCCCTGCTCCCGACTTGCCACAGGAGCTGCCGAACCACCTCCACATGACAAGGGGCTGCAGGTTCAAATTTCAAAGACAGCAGGAGCCCGGTCACTCCAGGGGTTGAGCCAGAGCTGCTAATTCACCAGGGAAAATCAGGACTAATTAGAACTGTAGAACGTGGGCATGGGAAATGCCACAGGCACACAAGGACAACCTGACACGTGACTGTACCTCCCTCTGCTGGTGGGACACGCTGTGACGGCCAGCGTCCAGGATCAAGTCAGGTCAGCCAAAACAAGGTGCAACATGAAGTCTAATACGTGACTTGTCACCAGAGGATCAGGTAGCCCAAGGCTGATGACAAGCGGTGAGCTCACAGCAGTGTCAGTGCCCGCAGTGTCCCTCCCCACATGGAGTATCAGCTGGAGAGCATGAGTTTGAGAGGATGAGGAGGACTGCAGGAAGAACCTCAGAGTGATGGAAAAGCAGCAGAGTCCTTGGCAGGACACATCTTTGTTAGGCATCGTGCAGCTGGTTCTCTTGCAGGAGAATCTTCTCCCCAGGCTTGAAGGCAGGCATCCCCAGGTAAGGGCAGCTGGCACAACGGAAAGCATCCCCCAGGTAGCACTGGCAAGGGAAAGAAAAGCACTGTGTGTAATCAGGTGCCACTTTCAGGTCTCCTCCCCTGTGATATGGTTTCTCCAGCTGAAGAGATGTCATGGTCCTCAGCATCTATGAGCACAGAGACTGCTTCCCCTTCTACCCCCTTCTCAACACTGATTAGTGTGGATGGCAGAGCTGTGCAGGAATTGGGCTCACACAGAAATGAGTCTCCACCCCACTTGGTGTGCCCATGCTGGGGCAGCCCCCTGAGCTCCCACAAGGCAATTCTC